CGGTTCCTGCGGCTCCTCCGGCTCTGCCCCCGTCTTCGGCTTCGCCCCCGTGCCCCTGGCCCTCATCTCCGCCCCCGCCCCCAGCTCCGGCTCCTGCGGCTCATCTAACAACGGAGGATATTCGGGATATTCTCACGGCTCCGCCTCCGGCTGCGGCTCCTGCGGCTCCTCCAACTGCGGCGGCTGTGGATCCGCCCCTGCTCCCTCCTGCGGCGGCCAGATCGTCGAGATCACCAGGACCAAGAGCTTCGTGCCCCTCTCCCTGCCCAAGCTCCCCAAGCCCTGCGGCTGCTCACTCCCCGCCCCCAGCTGCTGCTGTTGATGGGTACGATCGGTGAAATAAACCCTTCTAAACCTTTGATCTTGTCCCTCTCTGAAAAAAAGTCCTAAAAATACCACGGTCTGTGCTACCATATCGCAACGCAACACGTAGCAGAACGAGAAACGTGCATGCACACTGAGACCACTCTTAAAAATTCTGTCCGGGCGGGTAGTTGAAAAAGAAGAAACACGGGACTTGAAACACATTATTACACTCTAAAAGCAATCCGAAATTTTGTGTTGTATTTAATACAGCTTTCTATATTGGACTCTTGTGGTGCAGAAGGTTGGTTCCCTACTCGCTAGGCGCCATGAGGCACCACGGTGATCGACAGTAGGCTAGCCCACTCGCACGCTTGTATGCGGTGCAGTATAATCCAAAAACATTGACGTGGTCAATGGGACACCTCATCTTACTTGGAAATATTACCCGATTAGAGTAAAAAGAACGAGTCTACTGCTCTCAGTGCTGTGCCGTATAATCTTGTCGGTGAAAGAAACGCCTAACGTGCACATGCCGCACCCAGAGAAAAGTTTGCCTGATTTAGGCATAATTTGATGCAACAACATAGTGGACTATGTTGTTGCTACCCCCCCCCCCTTGCCATTATGTAGCAGAGCGGAAACCGGTGTGCGGCGGGTTTGCTTACCCCCTTCGCCCGTAAGGCGCCATGCCATACCCCCTGTGGACATGGTGAGTATGTAATCCGCCGCTTGATGGAATGTCCACTTTGAAACACCAGGCACCTGTTGCCTACTCCCAGGCGTCTTAGGGATCAACCAGAAAGTACGTCCGTCATTCACCTTAAAAAAATAAAATAAAATAAACTGCCAAGGTTAGCCCGTGCTAGCTCTCCTTCGCACCTGACACGTAGGCAAAATCTTGCCAACAGTGCATGTGTGTACTGATAGGTGGCCTACCCCGAATCTTGCAG